GTCTCGGTAGGTAACATAGCTGCCGGTGACTGTGAGCCAGTGAACTGAGGGCAGGTTTCGAGGGGATGGAGAGGGAGCCAGCATGCTGGGGATGCCAAAACAGACCAAGAGGTGCTGAAAGAGGAACCAAGCAGGCCTCACATACAAACTCTGCATTTTACAATTTCCCCTCAAAACCTTCTGCCTTGAGGCAGGATTTAACTATTTCTGTCCTTACAGTTCTCTTGTGGCTGGAAGCAGGAATGGGGTAGGGAAGAGAAGAAAATAGAAGGGAATGGAAAGTCAGCTAACAAGGTTAATTTTCCTTCCTTCCTTCCTTCCTTCTTTCTCTTCTTCCCTCCTTCCCTCCCTTCCTTCCTTCCTCTCTTTCTTCTTTTTTGGGGCATTACTGGGGTTTGAACTCAGGACTTTGCACTTGCTAGGCAGATAGATGCTCTACCACTTGAGCTGGACCTCCAGTCTGGGTTATTTCTTTAATAAATGAGAGAGAGGGAGGGAGGGAGGAGGAAAGATGTATTTCAAAGCTGGGGAGTGATTTTGAAATTGGAGTACAATATATGGCAAAAATTATTTTCTCTCTCTAGTAATGAAAGAAATATAGACATCAAGATATATCTACCAAATTAGGAAAAATTTTTACAAGAGTGTTTTGTGAAATGAGAATGGGACTCATCAGGGAAAACTTTCCGGAAAGCGTCTGTCATTGTGCAGCCATGCTGAAAACCAATGAGTTGTGGATTTCAGGTCTGGAAAAATCATCATGCACGATTATGATATGTCCATGAGAGGAATACTATACAGTCATGAAAATAATATTCATATTGGATTAATAACATGGAGATTTATGTTAAATATGGGCAAATAAAATGTGGGCAAATAAAAATAAAGTAGAAAAATTATAGAGGTCATGATCTGAAATGTATGAAAACACACAGAGGCAAAAATGGGAAAGAACCACAATAAAATGAGTTTGCTTTCTCCCTGATAATTCTAGCTTTTTGCCCCAATTTCTGTCCAGCACTCAAAGACCTCATATTCTGTTCCCACTCTTCAGCAAAACCTTTCACAAAGACAGCAACATAAGGCCCCATTTCGGATAAAGCTTCCAATGAGATTACAACTTTCTACAGATCTGCCGGCAAGGCCTGCAGTTCACCCTGAAAGTACAGAGTGACCAGGACAAAGGCTGCTCTTCTCTGAAGAGCAGGGCAGGCCCTTCACCTGGCACCTGTGGCTTCTCTTGGTCTTGGAGTTCCACAATTGTTCCCCCAGGAGAAGTGCTATTTGCCAAAAGAATCTTTCACCACTTCAAAGACATCAGCTTCCCCTGGGATTTCCAAAAGCAGTTGCCCAGGTAGGAATATTTTGCTAGTGACTGTGGGGATGGAATGAATGAGCCCAGGAGCTGGCTGCACCCACACACATCCTGGAGGGCAGGCCAATTCCTCCACAGCTGCTTAAGTCGTGCATTGAGGGAAAGCCTGAAGGACAGACTAGCATTTGATTGGCAGCTTCTTTTGCTCCAAACCTCAATCCATTTGACACTAATATATTATTCATCAACGTATCCCCCAGTTTTCCTGAGTGGCTTCCTTGTCTAAACAAAGAGAGGACATTTGTCTTAAGGCAAATGAAATAGTGGGAAATTTCCAGGTTTTAAAATTTGAACCTTACCTTGAAAATGATGCCTATGGTTCAATTTATTTTGAGAAGGGACAGAATAAGTTTCACCACTGGCCCTGCAAGATTTGTCTCCAGGAGCATTTAATGACTGCCTTCGTTGTGAAAATAAAACCAAAGAACGCCATCCGAAGTGATATGTACTTCCCGTTGTCATTTTCCAACTTACGTATCCTTAATGCAAACAATGACAGGTGTCCAATGTCATAATTGCAGGATAATTTGCATTGATTCCTGTCAAAGGAAAGCTGCTTTAAATATCACAACATGGCGATCACAGGATGCTCGGATGTTACCTGCTTTTCACGTAGCATTCCAGGCCACCTGTACTTTTTTGGATGGCACGGAACTTAATGACACAATTTGACATAAAAGAGAAATTTCTTCTACAATGACAATTTTTAATAGGAGGAAAAATTTTAAAGTCTTTTCGTTAACTCTAACTCATTCATGGGCGTCCTGGGATATCGGTTTCCTGGGGATGCTGCATCAACAAACTGGATGGCTCCAAATTAACAGCAGGGATTTATTGACCCTCAGGTGTGGAAGTGAGAAGTCTGAAATCAAGGTGTCAGCGGTGACATGCCTTCCCCGAGCCCTGTTCCTTCCTTGTCTTTTTTAGCTGTTCATGGCTTGCTCGTGACCTTTACAGTTGCATCACTCATCTCCGCCTTCATTGTCATTTGGTGTCCTCCCTGCATGTCCTTGTCTTTCCATGACCATCTTCTTATAAGGACTGTAGTTATTTGGATTAGGGGTCCACTCTACTTCTGTATGGCCATGTCTTGGCTAATTACATTCACGACGACCCTATTTCCAAATAATGCTGTCTGTGATTCTGAGTGCCTGGAGGTTAGAAGTTCAACATATCTTTTTTTTTTGATGGTACTGGAGTTTGAACTCAAGGCCTTGCATTTGCTAGACGGGTGCTCTACCACCTAAACCATCCCACCAACCCTTTTTGTTTTAGTTATTTTTCTAATAGGGTCTCACATTTGCGCCTGGGCTGAAATCCTATTTATGCTTCCCTGTTAGCTGGGATGACAGGTGTTTACCACCACACCCAGCTTTTGTTGTTTTAGATGGGGTCTTAACAAACTTTTTGCCCAGGCTGACTTGGAACAGCAATCCTCCCGATCTTCACCTCCCAAGCAGCTAGAATTACAGCTTGAGCCACTACACCAGGCTTTGACTTACCTTTTTGAACTTATCAACTTATCACAGGTGGAGTCTGTGAACTTGAGGTTAAGAGCCTGTTGAGACATTCAGAAGGCAGCATGTGAACCCTGGAACCAGAAAGCATGAAACAAGGGTGCATAGAAGGAAGTGGAGAGGGACAAATAGAGAGCTCACTGTGCATGTTTGCCCACAAATCTGGTGGTGGTGGTCCCCGCAGATTTGGGTGTGGACACTCTGGTTGCTGACAGCCAAGTCTCAGCTGAAGACGTTCATGTTCTGCCCTTGGCTGCAAAGTGAAGTCTAAGTTGTGTCCTCTGCTGGTGCCATATGTCTGGAAATGTCTGAATTTTGTGCAGAGACACACGGGCAGTGTTCTCATAAGTGGAGTTACATAATTAGGGCATGGACTTGCATAATAATTAGCATGTATAATTAGGCACAGACTTCTTGTCCTTTAATTAGACAATCAAGACATCTAATTACAAAATTAAGATGTAATTACGTGGCCCAAGATCTTCATATTTCTTTTTACCCATCAGAGATTACATTTAGAAAATAACTTGCAAAAACCGAGGAAGCAATGAATCTGGTAGACTCTTGATTTGAAGGTGTAAAAGAAAGGGCTAAGTGAGTTACTACACATCTCGTTTGATCCCTTCCCTTATGTGTGAAGGGACTCATTTCAAATGCCATCAAGTACTTGAAAGAATACCTTCTACCAACTGTGGTGTAAACCCTTGGTGCACACATGAATAAAGAGGAATGGTGGCATAGCAAATCCACATAGTTCACACATGGCTCTGGAGTGGGGTTTGTAATTACACTTGAACATGGACTTAATGTGACATCCTGGGAACTCATTCAAACTTAATAATGCCCCAGATAGTGGAGATCTTCGGAGAGCTGGGAGGAGACCCTGCTCCCCACTCGGTTCTGGTTGATTGTCCCCTGTGGTCACATTAAGTATAGACCAATTGCTCAAAAGAATGCAAGCCCGTGCTTAGGTTGTCTTGCTCTTTCTCTGTGGATCTGAATATTTGCTGAAACATTCTTATTTTAAGTGCGCTTATCAGGCTGCAGGTGGGAAGGGAAAAAGTCAAAGAATAGACAGCAAACATCCCATCTTGTAGGAAGTGAGTGAGTCTTACCACAGAGGCATTTCTGAGTTCCTGTACTCCTCCGAAGTCACACCGTGTCGTCATTCTCTGTTACTTTTCTTTGCCTCTAAATTGTGATCTGGTTGATCACAATTGCTAAACACCCAGTTGGACTCATTAATGTTTCTGGACTGACTGAACTGGCTGGCTGGTTAGGGCTCAGGGACATATGGCAATGCAAGGTTTTCCTAAGCCAGCTCTGACTGACTTTAACTGTGCTATTCCTCTGTTCCCACAAACTGTTGAAACATCCTAGTAATTTCAATGTTTTGACAGCTTTGCCGCACTTCTCAGACCGCTGCTTTCTTCTGAAAGGTGGCACAGAAATCTGTTGGCCCATGTTTCCTGGATTTTGGTTATAAAAGTCTGCTTCCTACATGGTTGCAGGCTGTGAAAACCAAGGCTCACAAAAGTTGGAAGTGCTTGGTAAGAGGGTCGCCTCTCCGTGATGTGCCTCTGGCCCTGTTTTTTATTGTTCTCTACTTGTCCGTGGAATTCGACAAGGGACAAATTATGTATGAACTGAGTGTGTGTGTGGGGTGTCTGTCTTGACCAAGAAAATAAAAAGATGCACCAGGACCTTATGTTTGGCCATTGTTGGTTTTTTGCCTGTACTTCTGAGCAATTGCTCACGATAGATGTAGAGGCAAAGGAACTGAATGGGGACGAAATGTATTTTTGAAGATAATTCAGTGACAGGACTTCAGGTAAGGGAGGGGTGGTGGGACCACCTCAGCTCTAAGGTGCCTCCCAACTGTGACGTTTTCAGATCCGGGTCTCTAACCCATCAAGTCAATCAGCAATTTCCAACTTCCCGGTCTCCCACTCACAGCCAGGCCTCTACCCCCTCCACTCCTTAAACGTGTTCATCGGAAATTTAAAATTCTTCCTTCCAGAGGAATCAATTATTCTGATTCTTAATCAGGCCAAAAGCATGGATAGAAACTTCAATGTCTTGGTATTTAAATTTTGTTTCTTCCCCAGGTATTCCACATCAGCGTTCTCAAGGCTGGAGAAGCTAGGCATCAGACACCCCAAGCCATCTCCTTTTATTGGAAACTTGCTTTTTTTCCGCCAGGTAAGTAAACATGGACTCGCTGCTCCTGGTGCAGGCTTCCCCAGAGATGCTGCTCTTGTCCGGGTTGTCCTCTCTGGGTGGGCAGTCTACACGTGAAGCTGCTGTGTGATGCCATGAGCCCCCACCCCACACACACACTGGAGTGGATTCTGTGTTAGGACAATGCTCTGTTCTCTTATCTATCACTCATTGATATGGATTAAGTCCTGTCATTCATTCACTCCAAACCCCATTTACGAGTGTCTAAACACATCAGGCCCTACAATGCAGAAGAAGTTACCTATAGCCCTTCCGACAGCAGTGCACAACAGCAGGTGGAAATTGCCCAGAGCTGGACTGGGCAGTGTAGCTGGGAGCTGTGGTCTTGCTTCAGATGGGAAGGAGATCTGTCAGGGCAGAGCCATCCCAGGGGAGTTGCTGGAGAAAGGCGTCCTGAAGGAGCTGTAGAAAAGAGCACACGCACCACGTGAAGAGTGCCACATGCATCAGTGTGGCAACACGGGAATGAAGACACAGGGTGGCCTGCACCCTGAACCCACCAGAAGCCAAGGATTAGGGAGCCCTGAGAGTTCAAGAAAAGAGCTATTCTGAAACCATCATTTTGATGGAGAGAGGAACATGGAAATGCAAGGTTACCCTTCGAGGGACAGGAGTGTAGGTTAGGATGCAGCTGCTGTCGATGTCTAGGTTGAAACAGTGAGAGTTTGGTACAGGGTGGCGATGACAGCCAAGACAAAAGAACACTGGGGACAAAATGAGAGGCTCTGGTCACATTAATAAGGTGCCGATGATTCAAGACAAAATGAGTCAAGCATGAGTGTAGAGTTGAGCCAGGAGGAGAGAATGGCCACTGGGTGATAGAAATAAAAGGTCTGGAGGGGTAGCTGGCTCAGGGAGAAGCATGTTTTATTTTAAGTGTGTTGCCTTCGATTAGCCAGAGTGACAGCAGTGCAAATGGATAGAAGGCGTTGGTAGATATGGGCCCAGGGCTCTATCTCTAAAGGTTATTTTTTCACACTTTGGTTTTTCTCAGAAGTCTGATGGCGTTTATTCTGCCAACTCATGAGGACACGTCCACCAGATCATCTTCAGGAGCCAACAGTTCCTGGAGGTGAAGAGCCACACAGCACAGGAAGGACTAAGTTTGGGCTGATCCTGATAATAACATTCTAACCACTAGGGACACCCCATCCCTACCCTCAGGAAGGCTGCTCTCTGATATCAGGCAGACAATAAGTTTGGCTATTTCTGTCCTTTTCCCTCCCAGCGCTGCCACTTTCTCTGTCCATTGTCCTCTTTATTGTATTGCTTCTTTCTTCTAGTATTTGAAACAACTTCTTTATCTCTCTTTCTCTTTCTCTCTCAGCCAGTTCACAACTTTTTAACCCACAAACAACTACACCATTGAGGTTTCCTTAGATCCTTGAAGCAGGTGTGAAGAAATTCAAGAACATCAAAGTAGAACAACAAACCAGATAGGAAATAAATGTCACATGTGGCTGCGGGGAACAACCCATGGTATCCAGTTGAGTAATTAATCATTATTAACTCTTTGAGGAAAATAGTGTAACTGTGGCTGTGAGGAGAACGCTGAGCCGTGGTAGCTCCAATTTCCACGCATGCTCCTTTCCAGCTCATCATCCTGTCGGTGCAAATCCTGCCACGTTCTTCCTAGAACATAGTTGTCATTGCAGTGGTTATTTTATAATCGTACAAGCTTCCTTCGATACAGGGCAGATCCAGTGGCTCTATGTGAACAGAGCACAAATTCCAGTCAGGACATACACTTCTCACCCTCAGTTCTCTGCTCACACCCCATCTCCTCCATTCTCACAACATCTAGAACTTTCCACCCTATGCCCCTCCCAACACATGCATATTTTCATGCATATCTCATTCCCACCATATTTAACATTTTCTGCCCCCTCCCATGTGACGCTGCCTGCGTCCTTCAGACCCTTCCCCTCCACCCACAGCTCCATCCCTACAGCACAAGGGTCCTAGCATTTTCTAAGCCTCCACCCACTTTACCCCATGTGCATCGCCTGGCACACTCCACCATAAATTATGTCCTATGTGGAATTACTCTAAGGTAATGTTACATTTTTAATCTGTTGGTTTTAGTTAAAATTTCACTTGGACTATGAGAATTCAGATTTTGTGATAATTCAGATAGACTCTGTAGAAGTTTACACATATAGGAGGCATGAAAAGGAATTTAACCAATGCGTAATATCAACCACATCTCAGAGGGGCGCATTATAGGTGAGAACACATAGAGTTTTCAAATATTTTAGCAACAATTATATGCAACAGTTCAAGCACTGATGGTCTCTTCCATCCATTAAAGCCTAGCTGCCAGAAAGTTTTTCTTGCAGTAATTTTAAAAGCCACTTGTTTATCTGATATTCCACAGCACTTGAAAGCAATATAACTTCAATTCTTTTTTTATTGTTTATATAATTGTGTTCTCACTGTTCCCGATTTTTTTTCTGAGTAAGTTTGAATAATTGAAATGTTGCTTAATCTTATTCTTACTGTAGTGCTGTGTTTCCTGCAGGGTTTTTGGGAAAGCCAAATGGAGCTCAGGAAACGATACGGACGTCTGTGTGGGTAAGATGGAGACTCAGCATTTCTGTCTAGATTTTGACTTCTGCATCCTGCCTCAATGTGGAAGTAATACCAAAACCAGGGATGTTGCATGCGTTTGTAAGCATCCCCTCCACGATTGATTTTTACATTATTTAAAAAAATCTTTGGTACACTTTGAATGGGTTATTTTGACATAAAATATTTTTATCCTATTCAGCCTGCTTTGCTTTCTCTGCCTTTCCCCTCCTCTCACTGGTCCCCTTCTACTTTCATGCCTTTTTAAAAAATCTAAATTCCACATATGAGAGAAAAATGTGATATTTGTATTTCTGAGTCTTATTTTGCTTAACATGATGATTTCCATCCATTTTCCTAAAAATGTGACAGCCCTCTACACCCCACAGCAAACAGACCAATTCGCTTTGACTGCCCATGGCAGCTCTTTCCTCATGAACTTAGCGAAATCTTACTGGGCTCTCAACCCTGTAGGTAAAGTGTGTGGCTGACATATGACCAGAAAGTTTGTCATCCAACCCAGCATCTTTTTGAAGTGAAAGAAGTGTTATTAATAATGACACAGGACAGCAATGTAAACCAAGACATATGGTCGCCCTTGTTCCTGGCTATGTAAAGTAATATGGCCCTTCCTTTGTTTTTCCTGAATTTCTCTTTTATGCTTCAGAGTATGTTCTTTTATCTTTTTGCTGTACCAGGGCTTGAACTCAGGGCCTACACTTGAGCCACTCCTCCAGCCCTTTTTGTGTGTTAGATATTTCCAAGATAGGGTCTTGTAAACTATTTGCCTGGGCTGGCTTCGAACTGTGATCCTCCTGATCTCTGCCTCCTGAGTGGCTAGGATTGCAGGTGTGAGCCACCAGCGCCTGGCTGCTCCTCTCTTTCTATCCGAATCCAGCACATAAACTCACGTTCAGAACACTTTCTGTGTTAGAGATTGAACAGGCTTGCATCATGCTGATTTCAGCATGGGTCTTCCCACATTGGAGTTCGAATCTTTTCCATCTATTTTACCCAGCTTCTCCTCAACCACTGGGTGGTGCTTAGTAGCTTATTTTAGGCCTCCAGGTCAGCAGTAGCCTTTCCAGATGCACTGAAATTGTTGTGTTGTGTTGTGCACATACTACACAACATCTTTCTGTCCATAGGATTTAAAACATCTTTTCTCTCACTTTTGAAAGGAATCAGCTTGTGCTCTTTCTGGAAATGTCCCCACCTGGGGAGCCATGATTTTGGCCAACTGCTTCTCCCTACACTTTGATTTTCATATGTCCCAGAAAAATTAATAAAATGTTGTAAGCCAGGCATGTGGCCCATACCTGTAATCCTAGCTACTCAGGAGGTAGAGATTGGGAGGATCATAGTTAGAGGTCAACCTGGGCAGAAAGTTCACAAGACCTCCTCTCAACCAATAAAAGCTGGATAAAGTGGCACATGCCTGTCACCCTAACTATGTGGGACTTGTGACTGGGAGGATCGTGGTCCAGGATAGCCCAGGCTCAAATGTGAGACCCTATTCAAAAAATAACTAAAGCAAATACATGCTAGGGGTATGACTCAAGTAGTCTCCTGCCTAGCAGGCCCAAGGCCCTGGGTCTAAGCCCAAGTACTGCAAAAAAAAAAAAGTATTGGATAAAAAAAGATGTATGTATTAGATGCTCTCTGTATTAGTTTCTCACTGCTGCATAACAAACTCCTCTAAAACTCAATGACAGAAACAGCAATTGATTGTTTACTGTGTGTAAGGATTGGCTGGAGTTGGCTAGTCGAAGCTCTGTGTGATTGGAAGGCCCCTCTAGACTACCTGGAGTGTCTGCTGGGGAGGGGCTCCCCTGTGCAGCTCTGTTCCACGTGACTCTCAGCCTCCATGAAGAGCAGGATTGGCCAGGAGGAAAGCAGTGGCCACTTAAGGCCCAAGCAAGTCCCGTGGCCAAGCCTGACGTTGGTGGATCAGGGAGGTATACTCTGATGGAAGGGTGGAGGCAGATATTGGCTTTAAATAGCAAGCGACTCTACCTCACTTGCTATGCCCTCTGTTAACTGGGTCTTCACTTAGCTTTCTTTTTCTTGCATAGCTTCTGGTTGTAAGTATGGTAGGTAGTCAACAAAGCCCCAAGGGATGGACCTGTTTACTTTTATCTTTCTATTACTTTGGTGCTGTTCTATTGTCTTTATTTTTGGTGGTAGTAGGGTTTGAACTCAAGACTCATGCTTGCCAGGTAGGTGCCCTACCACTTGAGCCTCATCCCCAGCCCTTTTGTTTTTATTTTGTTTTTGAGAGAGGGTCTCACTAACTTTGGCCAGGCCTGCCTCAAACTCATGATCTTCCTGCCTCTGCTTCCCAAGTAGCTGGTATTATAGGCATGAGGCACCACACCTGATTTGTTCCATTGTTCTGTTAAAAGTTCTCATTCCAGCTCTCTCTTTCTGACAGTCCCCTTCTGCAGTGCCTTGACCCTGATCCTGGTAATGGTCTCCTTTGTTTTGAGACATAGCGTTGACTCAGAATGATAATGCCTTTACCAGAACCAGAAAAAGTCCTTCCTGAATTTTGAATTCTAGGAATCCATTCCCTTGAGTACTTCTTGTACAGATTTCCCAAGTAGAACTTTGGGTGTTTTAAAATTGTCAGCTAAAGAGAGTAAAGGGCACTGTATTAACTGGGGTGTGTGTGTGTGTGTGTGTGTGTGTGTGTGTGTGTGTGTGAGAGAGAGAGAGAGAGAGAGAGAGACTGAACTGGTTTCCTTGACAACAGGATATCCAATCAACTCCGCCCAACTTTAACTAAGTTCACACCACTTATTCTTTCCTTTTCCAGAAAACTTAAATCATAGAGAATGATTTCAAATGATGTTAAAGAGGTCACAATTGCAGTATCATCTCTATTCTTTGTTCCCACCTCTGGTGAAAAAGAAAAAAAAGGTGATGGGATAATTTATTCATACAAAGCCATCACCTTTATCTGCTGTAGAAAAAAAAAAAGATGAGCCATAGATGCTGACTTCTTTATGGAGGGGTCCTTCTTTCAGATCTCAAGCAATATGACAGAGAGAAAATGGAAGAGCTGAATTAGACTACATCTAAGCTTTGCCTAACTCTAAACAGTCTCTTTTTGGTGCTTTAATTTTGGCAGAAAAGGTTTCTCTGATTTGGAATGCCCAAGGGAGCTATGTTCAATGAACAACAAAGACCCCTCTTTTGGGAAACAATTCTGTTTAAAGTACATTAATTACTAGACTGCTTTTGTGATTAAGAAATAGAGTTCCAGCTTGGTCCTCTTAATTAAGCTTGGGACAATAGATTTAACAGGTGAAACCCTCAGTATGGATGCCCTGCAGAGAGCACTGGGCCTTTAGTTGACAGGACAGCCCTGTGTGCTGGGACAAATGTGACAGAAAGGAGGTCCTTATTGCTCTGAACTGAAAGCCAAATATGATTACTGTTTTTGCTTCTCATATGGTCATCATAGCAAAGCTGTCAGAGTTTGGGCCTGTAACTAGAAATTGACCCCTTCTCTCTCCTCCCCCTTCCCACTTACTGCTATGGGGGAGCTATTTCTGGGGAAGGACTCTGTCACAAAGGATTGCTAACATCAATCCTTATTATTGCAACCATCACCATCACTGCCACCATCACCAAAATGTCTTTGCCAAGTGCCTAATTATGCAGCCTGCTTTGCCAGGCTCTGTGCAAATAAAACCACATCCATCATTTCTGCCTTCTTTGAACTTGGACTGGCATGCAAACCCATTCAAGTTGTTCATGGCACTTGATTACACCACTTCTGAACTGCAGGGCGGTACCACTGGCCACACAGGTGAAGGAAGCAAGGCCATACCGCTTTGAATAGCCTTCAGTCAATGCATGACTCCCCTTTGAGTCTGAGGATTAGCCCCAAATTGGGTTTACATTCCTCCACAAACTGTGTAAGAATGATAGCAACAGGATCGTTGTGTATTGGTGATTAATTGTAAACAGGATAGAGATTATGCCCCACCAATTTGTAACACACTTTAATCCAGTAGATAACGACCCTTGATGTGCTGTTACTATTATTCATAAAAGTAACATTCCAGAGCCCTAAATCTAGCTCGTTAGAAACAACTACGGCCCCATCCAAAGTCGTCTTCCCTTAGCTCATCCACCTTACCTGCTTGCTCTGTAGTTCTGCTTTTATTATGCCTCATCCTCATTTCCTCTTGCCTCCTTATCACTTTAGTTTTGATCTCTTGTGTTAACTTAGCTCCCTCTGTTGAGCTTGACTTTCACGATTCCTGCCACCCATCACCTGTGCACCTGCATTCCTGACTCTTCCCCCCCCACCGTGAAGTTAGTTTCATTGCATAACCTTCTGTGTTCCCATTAGAACATTAAGTGTAAATGGGTAAACTTGAACACCACACATTCATAAAGTGCAACAGGGAAAAGACATCTCTGCTCCCACCGTGAACCCTTGGCACTTCTGCACAGAGGCCACCTCACTCACCTGATGTCGTTGCTCTCAAATGGGTAATACACAATTCACACTTTTCTTTACCTTGCTTTGTTCATTGATGGTGTTTGGGGAATTGCCTATTTCAATGCACTCGTTTTGTAAATCATATTCTATTTAAAGCATCTGATCGCATGGCTAGATTTTAATTTTTAGTATAAGCTCTCAGTTGACGAGCATATTTTGCTTTCACAAATAGTACTGCTGTCTTGCATGATTTCGGTCTGTCGTTCTTAGAGTGATTACACCACTGTGCACACTCACCCTTATCTTCTCTCCATTCATGTTGGTCAGTATAGTCTTTTCTATGCTACCCTCTTCTTCCTCTTAGCCCTTCCTGTGTGTAGATTACACAGGCTGTGTGGAAATAAAACTGCACTCATCGTCTCTGCCTTCTTTGAACTTGAATGTAAAGCAGATGGGCTGCCACACACACACCCAAACAACTTCCACTCGTGGCAATTGATAGGCCCTTCTGTTGATTATCTATACTTTTAATTTTGATAAATATTAC